TACTGATGTGTTGTTTAAAGATAACTCCGCCCAAAAACTTGTTTCCAGCATCATCCATATTCGGTTGGGAGACCAACCGGAGTACTCATACATATTGTTATACCGTTCGCACAACACTGTACGATTGTATAATAGTATATGTATATCTACAAATCTACAGAACAGATCAAATATTCATATAATTTGGTAGGGGTTGAATGCTACAAATAGGAAATCATTGCTACTTATATGTATGTATGTATGTTTATGGTATTCTTTCAGCTGTAAGTGATTTTTATATGAAAATTTAACAATAAATTGGCACTGGTAATTGGTATTCTTCCTTTTTTCATTTATTCTCAAATATACATATATAAACATAATATAAATACAATATACATATGTGTATGCGTGTACCTACTTAGTGAGAGTAGGTACTGAAAATTTTCGAATTATTCGATTAAATAAGTACACAGGTATCCGTACGTTCCTATGTATGTACCTACATACAGTCGCTCACGGAAGTGTTATATTTAGCATATGAAGAAGATTATGAAACTCTTTAAAATGTTTAATTTTCGAAAGTCATAATATGTAACTCAAAAAAGACTAAAATTATCCTAAGAACTTTGTAAACCCTATTTAATGCATCGGTTTGTAACTTTCCTTGAAAAAAGACACATGAACATGCTTAAAGAGTTTTCCAACTCCTTGAACGGTTTTTCAACCTCTTCCCTTGCCAGAAACCCGGCCATTAATAACATCGGATTTAAGGTTTTAAAAAACAGAGTATCGCTTTTACCATACTGTTTTCTAAAAGTAAACATTTTTGGTTTTGTATTGGATGGCAATATATATGCAATTATATATGCGTTATTTACAACGTTTTATTATTGCGAAGATATTTAATAGATTTATACCCCTTGTGCAGATATAAAATTACTTTTATGTTAAACAAGAAACTGAAAATATGCAGAATACTTTTGTGAGTAACAGTATGTTTGTAGCGCATCATATAAATTCAGGGCAATGACACCGATTCGCTATGACATAGGATATTCATTGCTATGGCAACTAAGTCTATAAGTATAGTCAGAATAGCCACATTGACAAAATTTTTGGCATAATAAATATGGTAGATTTTATAAAATGCCTATGTATATACATACATAGAAGAAACAAAATCCTTTTTACAATATTTACCATGGTCAAAATTTCGTTACATCAAAATTTTAGTTTTCAAATGTGAAATGTGTCTACCTCTCCTCTTGTATTTAGTAGTTTTATTTTGCTTTTTGCCGCTACATGCCGATACACTACTTATTAATTAATGCCAGAGGTGAGGTGAGGTAAGAAATTTCCCTTGATGGACGCTTTTAGATGTAACTGCATATTTAAAAGAGTACAAAATTAAAGTAGTATTGTATAGACATATGTTTTCCGAATGTTTATTCGGCCCACATAACCAATACATACTACATAATTATAATTATATTATAAAAAGTTAATAGGAGTACCTTTCCTTTTTTGGTCACAAGCACATACCAAAGTTGTAATATCACTCTCTTAACTTCGGTATTTATTTTAGATACCGAGGCATAAAGGGGTATAGGCAAGCTTCTACGAATGGAGTTACAGTCGCGGGGCTATACTCAATTCCTACTTTTGTGTCCATGTCGTACCCCCTGGTAACGAGACCAACCCGGGTGGAGTCTTGGATCACCGCTAAAAGAGAAGAAGCTTCAGTTAAGCCACGGCGACATAGTATATACATATGTTTTCCGAATGTATTGTAGTTGCTGATTTGTGACAAGGAGCATTGTCTTGCTGAAAAAGAACACCGTCTAAATTAGTATCGCCGTAAATTCGCGTTAACGAAGGCAGAGGAACAGCTTCTAATACATTGGACTGTCCACGCGACCCTCGCTAACGAACATTTCGCCGACGTCATCAGCAGCCATGCAGCCCCAGACCAGAACGCTGCCTCCTCCATGCTTAACAGTGGATATTACGCAATTTGGATGATATTCTTCCCCAACCCGTCGCCTCACAAACGTCACACCAGGTGTTGCAAGCATCTGTAGAAAAGAAAAAATAATGTTTTCATAAGATTTGCTTTTTGTCTTCAAAATTCCCCTAGGGTAAGAAGCTATGGCTGTTAATACTTTAAGACGATCTTAATTACTCTTACATCGAAGTTTGCTTCATCAGACTACAGAATATTCGACTAATCTTCTTCCGTGAAATGTTGGTATCGGCGAGCCCATTCCAAATGATTTTTCCTATTCTTTTCTGAGAGCCACGGCTTCTTTCGGGCTTTACATTCTTTCAAACCTGCTTCCAGAAGTCTTTTTCTAGCTGTTCGAGCACTCACTGGTTTACTAAATTCATCCGAAAGGACAGCTGCAAGGCCAGAAGAAGATTTTTTGCGATCCTCGCGTATAAGTATTCGGTCTTCTCGTTTACTGATTAGACGCTTTCGTCCACTTTTTGATTTATTATTGTATGATTTGAATTCCAACTCTATCATCGTAACTAATTTCATTTTTTTAGGCATTTCGGAAATATGAACTGTTTTTATCGTATAAGATTGTTAACTTTTCGCTAAATGTAATTTACACTTCCACTTTCAAATTTTATTTTATTTTATGAATTTCTTAAAAATGACAATTTTTAGGTTTAGCTTACCCAGAGTGTTATGACTTTTAATATTACACAATTTATTCGTTGTATCAACAGTTCAACACCCATGTGAAGTGGTAACTTTACTAGATGTTTCATTGCTTTTCGACGAGGACCAATGCATTGCTGATCGAACTATTCAAAAACGGTAGTGAACTATTCACCAGATATTCACCATGCCCCAAAGTTTGGAAAAAAGCCGTGAAAAGAGAATCGACACACAACACCTGTTTATCGATTTTAAATCAGTCTTCGACAGCACGAAAAGGAGCTGTCTTTCCCTGCTAAGTCTGAATTCATTATCCTCACGAAACTAAACTGACATTAATCAACACCAAAAGTTCGGTTAGGTTGGGTACATACTTCTCCGAGCTGAAGAATTGAAAAGAGGAGGTACAATCTTCTATATGAATGCACAGCTACTGGCATACGCCGATGATATTGACATAATAGTCCTCAACAACTGCTTGAATCCTGGTTTCTCTATATCGGATAGAAAAGCGAAGCGTATTGGGTTGGTACAAGAAATATCGAACCATCGTTTTGTACAGCGATTAAATCCAATTTGAAAATTATCTTGTTAAAAAAGTACAGCTTCCTCAGCCGAATGGACGCTATTTTCCATTTTCTGATTCAAATTATATTAATCTTTTCGGCAATAGAAGTGCTCTATAATTTTACCAAATCAATTGACTTACCGCATTGTCTATAGCTTTGAAACGGTTCCTACAATTTTTACTAAGAAGCATTGGAGAGCCTCAGAGGCTCAATGTTTTTCTATCACGATTTCAGTTTTAAAATCTTTAAAATTTTCTATACATATTGGCCAGCTTGATATGGAGGAGAGAGGGTTGGGTTGTTAGCCAGGCTGGGTTGTGAACCATGAGCTTTCTCTTTTTATCTAATTGAGAGGTTATCGTCGTTTGTCTTTTTAAGTTTGTATTTTGACATGAGTCAGTTTTGCAGATAACACCGAAGTATGCACTTGTATTTTGTATTGCGAAAATTTGTTTTCCTTTTTTTCAAGTGCCTTCCAAACGGCTGAATTTATCCCAAAAAGTGAGTTTAATGCATATTTATTTAGTGTTTTGGTTCTTTTTTACGATCCCATATTTGTTTAGGCTGTTAAGCTTGCGATAAATGTTGTTTTTGACGTTTCCAAAGTTGTGCTATGGCTGAGTTGTGAACTATTTGGTGGCTTCAGTTATTCATACTAGATTTGTACTAGAACTGTCGAATATGGTCGAATATGATAAAATAAAGCGTTTTAATGTTGTTTTGCTTGATTTGTGTTACATTAATTTGAATTTTAGTCATGTCATTCGAAAAAACTATAGCCGCAACACTAAAAAACGCTGCGGATGCCATTAAAAAAAATTTTTTTTAAATACGGTAACTTGGATCCTTTGATAAATCAATATTTTGAAACGTTATATTCCTAAAACGAAACCCGGCTCACAACCTAGCCCTTTCCCTTCTATTTAGTATATTAAAAGGCAACTGTAAACTAGATAGAGTATATTAGTGCCATGTTGGTTAAAATTTTAGTTTGTCCAATTATAATTGGAATCCATACTTCACTCAGTAATCGATTATTACAAAATATATCTTCATAAGTTATAACAAGACTGTGTTTCAATGTATTAATTAATTTAAAATGGGTTTTCAAATATGTGTACATATGTATATACACATGTATATAACTTTTTTAAACAAAACAATATCTATGAAAATATGTTGGAAATGCCTGAGTTAGGGAATATATTTAACATTAGTGGTAATACTATGTCATTATTTCTCAGTTCATGTGTAACAAAGCAAATACGTGTAAGTTTATTGGAACCTTCATACCTACATGCCTACATGCGAATGCAGATACATACTCGTATGCATTTAAGTACATGTTCATATATGTATGTATATATGATCTATTTGAAATCATTGACTAATATTTACAAAGCGGAAGCTGTTACGACCAATAGCTGAATGTATACATTGTTCATAAATTGATTAAATATACACATACATTCATATATGTATGTACATGTGTATACATAAGCCCCATACATTCATGCCTTTTAATAGAAACTACAAAATAATGAGCATGCGCGTTTCCTTTATTCTAAAATAAAAAAGAGTAATTATCTACTCCCATCAATGAAGCTATCGTGAAAACGAGACAACCGCAGGTATACGATGGTTCGAAATTTGGTTAAAGCAATACTGGTTGAGCTGCTTTAAATATGACATCTGTGTTAGTGCGTGTCTCTGAAAGTGAGTACGAGTTTTTGGCTGAAGCATCAACAAACAGATAGTTTAGTTTCGGTTTGGTGCAGCAAACGATTGTGTATAATTTTCAATGCTAAATTATTACGAGTACTGTACTCAAATGAGACTTCAGAAGTTGTTAGCGACGGTATTAACAATAATACCAAAGTAATGCTCCTAATCAATATATGAATACATTGGCTGAGATAGTCAAATTGTGTTGACATTTACAATTACATATATTGGAAAGTATATATGCATACAAACATAAGTGTCTAAATTAGAAACGTACATTATAATTTGTGTGTAGAACGAAGTGAATACAAGCTTACCTAGAAAATAATAAGCTGGTGCATATTTCAAAGGCAACAATGCCACCAGAAACGAATACTACGAATAAGCCAACTCGTTTGCCGCGCGATGTCCTTTCAATGCATCAGTCAGCGCGATCAAGTTTTATGATAACATACATTTTAGCCGGAAGCAATGTTACAACGTCATCCAATTTTCGGAATGAAAACAGGGATAAATCGAAAAAGCTCCAACTCATAAGTCAGCATTATAGTTGTAAAAAAACGCAATCTGCAAAACATCAATATATGGATCTAAATCAGTGTTCATGTGATGATTGCTTTGCATCACATCAGAAACAAATAACACATTCATTTAATTTCCACCAGCCGTTGGATAATTATGACGATTTTAAGGTTGCAAATTTACATTTAGCCCAACCAGTTTGGTAGACGGATGAACATTATAAAAATTTGACCATTAGAGTTCCCAAAGACTTTTGTCAGCATAGTTGTTCTCGATTGCCGATGTCTGCTGCGCGAGCTGGAGTTGGAACACACAAATTGACTGTTCAAATTGAGCAAGGCGCAGTCGTCGTTGTCGACGATAAAACGTGCACTGTTGAAGATAGCGACAGTGACACTTGTGGTAAGTTACAAACGGTGAAAGATAATATGAGATGTACATTTGCACTTTTTGGCTTTGGTTAAAAAGTATTATTTAATTACCTAAATATACATTTTTATTATTATTTTATTTAATTAACGTCAGCTGTTCATAGTTTATTCATATGGTTTTTACCAACCTAAGGAAAATAATCAGGGAAGTGATTTATATTCGAGGTCTGTTCAAAAGAAAACGAGACTGTGCTCATTCGATTATCGATTTTTTTTTAATTGGTACACAAACAAATGTATGCATTTTTATCAGTATCAGCCATTTTGAGAAATTAGTATTAATATTGCTTTGGAAATTACAAACAATAACCACCAAAATTTTTGTTTAAGCGTGTCCCCTGAATCTGAATTACGTTAATGGCTTCACTAAATTATAACTATTTTTGTACATGAAAACTTACCGTTACTTTTATTATAAGTCTTCGTCACTAGCGAAGCCGGCCTTTAATTTTAATTTTTTTTTTTTCATTGAAGGAAACTTTATGCCGACCAACGCGTGTCACATGAGACGCGTGCGATCATTTATGCTTATATTGCATTATGATCCTACTTTGTAAAAGAAACCTGAATGATATTTGAGCCATGCCTCTAGAACTAAATCGATCAAAAATTAAAAACTAAAGTAAAAAGTCTACCTTTATGTATTGAGTGATTGAAGAGACAATTGAACGACCTCTAATGTACCACATATCTTAACACTTGAGTGAACATTTTTTCATTGCATATGTATTTGGTAAAGTAACTGAAGGTAGTTTAGAAGAAATCCTGCTAAGAAATATGCAAAGTACATATGTATATGTATCACTGAGGCCTTATGTTAATATCATATTAGCTTAGTTTTTTTTATTGTGGTCCACTATTACGGAAACTAATTTTCCGCTACCAAAGTAGGTCTCGAAAGCCAATGATAATTTTTATATATATTTATAATACCAGGGCTCTGCATTTTGCATCAACATCGAGCTATAAGGCTCGTACAGGAACAATCACCTTCTATAGGCTTTCTTTCTGGGTAGCTCATGAATGCATATCTATCTACATATATGTATGTATGCACATTTACGCACATACTTACATATATGCATCCACGTACATAAAGTATGGATTTATATGCGGACATAATTAACAAGTAAACAAATAAAGTATATACATATATAGGAACCTACTGCTTTTTATTTAGTTAGTTAATGTTACCATTGAAAGTTACTGCATACATACATACATAATATACTCGTATACACACGTCATTGTTTGCAGCGATATTCTTTTTAGTTATTAAAAAATGTGTACTCGGCAACAACATATGTAAGTACATACATACATATATTCATTAATTGGTTTAAAACGATGAATAACAAAAGCGAAAATCAAGGAAAAACTTCATAACAGTTGCGCATTTAACCATGTTTAATGCAATTTAGCTTTAGGTATTTAATGAAGTAATTGCAGAAATGCGCATGCAAGAAAGTATATAAATACATATGTATGTACAGCGATGGACAAAGTTTTAGCGCCCCTAGGCTTAAAATTAATAAGTGTTGCTCTTACTTTTTATGAGAGTCATTCCATAATATCTTACCAATATTTATCTAAATTTCTTTAGATGCCGAAGAAAGTATCATTACTTCTTACTTAAATTTTTGGTTCTTAAGATTTTTTAAAACAAAAATTAACCGCGTTGGAAAGTATTTTAGCACATTTATTTGCATTTTGACGTGAAAAAATTGTTTACAAATTTACTCTTGACAAACATTTATATACATACAATTGGTGGGGCTTCTCATTCAATTTGTATGCATCTTGATGATTTTCTAAAATCGGGAGGGTGTAGCAGTTTGTTTTAAGCGTTCGAAAGGCTGATTAGGAACCGTATTTTATGTCAGAAATACAGACGACCCCCTGGTTTGACTTTCTACCTGACCAGGAGGTGGCCGCCAAAAGAAAACTATTATTTCAGTTAAATATCATAATATAGAATGTTAGAAGGTATGACTCTGGTCTCTTGAACTCTTAACAGTGAATTACATTTTTATACACGATAAAGCTCCAAAGCACATAGCAGATGTGGCGAAGGACTGATCATCTCGAGAGCAAGGAACATTATTCAAGGGACCAGTTAAATGTAGTAACTTAAATCCAATCGAGAGTTTGGAGAATAACATTAATATTGAACTATATGGACAAGATGAACACATTTTCTTCCACAAAGACGGTGTCAGGTCCAGTTTTATTCGATAATATTGTGTTTATGATGCTAATATTTGGAACATAGATGCTTGGATTAACTCATGCGTATGCCTAATAATTACATGTCTAGAAATTTTAACTATCATCTTGAAATTAGGAAATCCACCCACTGCAGTTGGTTGGGAATACATACAAAGTATTATATGACATTGATAATACATACATTTGTACATACGTGTATGTACACTGTAAGTACTCTGAAGGGATAAATACTAGCTTTTAACTAGAATTCCACAAGTATTCATTTTCGCACTTCCAGTTTATCTGCATTCTTTTTCCTACTTCACCAAAAAAAAAAAGGTTTTGCCTGCAGCGAGATTCCAACACTAAACTTTACGTACTACAATGATAACCTCTAACTACTAGGCTATCCCTTATAACGCAGTAAACAACGAAACCAGAAAGTTAGCGCGCTGCGAAATGGTTAGCACACTTCATCAGAGCTTAACTAAGAGTGGAACTCAGCCATGGCGTGCTAGGTATAACAACTACACAAGGTAGTGGACATTATTATTACTTCCGTTACTGGTGAACAGTTTAACAGATAACCAACTTTAAAATACTAATATTTAGCTGTAACTCATGGACTCATGTGTAGAAGTTCACACAAGTGAGGAAAGGTTTTGACTGCCATTCACCTGGGAGTGGCTAATAACGATTTTCGGTCTTAGACCAAGTATTTCCTGTTTGGAGGCGAAATTATTTAATTTAATAGGTACCGATCGGAAATCATTTCGAAGCTCAATTATAAATATTTAGTAACATTGGAAAAATACTGGCATCCGATATATTGCATCCAAAGCTTAAGTTTATTGAACAATGTTTTTTTAATAAAAAGTTAGTATGCATATGAACGATTTCCCATGTGGAAGATCATTATTTAAAACAGTATAAACTTATTTAAAGAGCTAATCTACTCGCATCAAATAAATGACTTTATATATGTTATGGTTTCCTTGGAAAGCATCCGCCATAAAAATACGGTAGAAAACGAATATTTTTATTTTTATTTTTTCTTTTTAAATAGTAATTAAAAAAAATGAGATCAATATGAATTTAAAATAAACACAAAATAATCAATATTTTTTTTTTTTAAGATTCGATTCTGCACTAATTTTTGTAGTTTTTTACAAAACGAATGCGAAAGCTATCTTTTTATAGAATTTAAAGTAAATGGAACAATAAATACAAGATTCGGTCTTTATTCAAATATTTTTACATAGCAAAGAAAAGAAATAGCAATACAACAATAAATTCGTTTTCAAAAATCAGCAAATTATTGTTAGCAAAATCGTATATGCAGAAGTCTTTAATAGTGTCACGCGTTGGTGAGGTAGCTCCCCAGCTCTACGAAAGCCTCCATCATAATCGCGGCTCCTTTGAAGTTTAAAGACGTCAAAGTAAAACAAAACTGAGTGTTCGAATCAGAATGTCATTATATGCAGTTGTACCTCACAAAGTTTTGTTGAATATATTTTCCATCTGCTGCTGCTGCAAACTGAATTTTCCGTACAATGTATATAGCGTGCTCTTAAATAAAAAAAAATGTAAGGATCAATGGAAAATTAGATACTTAATTAATCGACAATATATTATTACAGCAGCTTATCCTGTATTTCCCACTTTCATATATCTGCTACGAAAAAATGGTTACTACTACTACTGGAATATAAGAATATAAAATAAAACGGATAGTCCGTATAGCGGGATTCTCTTTTAATTTTTATGCACTCAGTACTGCTTATGTGTTAGTGCTGTTCGAAACCGTGTGAATGCATTGGTGAACCCATCAGATAGTTTTTCTTATGAATGAAAGCCCTTAAGTCGATAAACTTATATTTATATATATGATGTTTTTTAACAAGTGGAAGGACCTACAGTTTATTTTATTTTCATTTCTATCTTATTTCAGAAATACAGTCAGAGGGCTTGATATTCCCTGATGAGGAGCGACTGCAATTAGAAAGATGAGATCTGGATGTTGCCGATAGAAAGTAATATTTTTGAATGATAAAAGTAATCTTTCATTTGAACATTGGGTGCTATAAGAGCATAAGTAAGTATGTATGAAAGTGTATATATTCTGAGTTATGCTATACTTATCTGGTTAAGAGTGATGGTTTTGAATTCACCTACCTGAACAGTTGGCAGTTATTTGTGAAAAATATACTTCACGGTTGTGTATTTGTTGCTAATTGCTAATAGAAAATACGTTTATGACAGCTTCGTATGGATTAAACCTTTCGGTCGAAATTTTTATTTTATGGCGGCCGCAATATTTGAGTTTCATTGTTCAATTTGTTTATAAAATAAATAAATAAATAGTAACTATACTCACATTTTATACCACTTCTTTCATTGTTTTATTACTAAACAGGTGCTAAAGATAAAGATGTTAATAGCTCTAAAAGCAAGGAATTGACGAGTCTGAAAAAAACAACGTATGTAAGGCCCGCACTGCATTCACCAACGATCAGTTACAAACTTTGGAAATGTCATTACAACGAAGAAAATATTTAAGTCTACAAGACCGAATAGAATTGGCCAACGAACGGAATTGAGTGATTGTTAAGATTCGAAAGACTTGGTATCAAACCCGAAGGTATTCTTGTGATTGAAATTGCAAAATATATGGATGTACAATAAGGTTCAGTTATAACATCCCCTAAATTAGTGTCGAAAATTTTAATATAGAAAGTCCAAATAAAATTGTATAAAATTTCACTAAAAATATTCAAAGATTAGTCTATCGTGACAAAAAAATTTAAATTTAAATGATTCACGAACAAAAATTTGTATCAGGTTAAGGAAATAAACGTTTTGAAAATATTTTTTTTAGAAATTAAAAAGAAATCAATTTTGTACAATCAGTGCAGCAACAGTAAAATTAAATATCTGTTTTAAGTGATTTTTGAAAATATATAATACGTAAAAAAAATAATTCGTTTGTATTAGGCAAATCGTCGAATCCTCCATCAAAAATAATATCAGGTTAGTTGCTTAAAATTCCTTACGTTTGCTGTGATGTTTCTTTCTACATTTTAGAATAGCAGGAATCATCGATCCCCTCCATAACTAATGTTTACAGTTAAGACTAAACACTATTTTTAATAAATTTTACATCCAGCTGGATAGGAGCAGTCCGTCATATCCTGGACTTTTGCGTGGCTTAAACGTACAAATTGCCCCTTTATTTTCTCCTTATGACAGCTCTGTCTGTCCCCGATGACATAAGAAAAAAAGAAAGAAGAGCCAAAGTCTTTATATCTTTTATGTATGACCTGGAACCTCACACCTGAATATGTCGGCTGCAAGGGGGCTACATGATATAGTTTTCCTATATTGATGATTTTCAGTAACTATGTGAATTTCATTGTACATATGTGTGTATAATATCAAATTTCATGTTTATCTGCATAGCTTTCATCGCATTCCTTCTGGCTAAATCGCGTAGTCTTTTTAGCTTTTTTTTTAGCTGTGCTTAGCTGATATTTCGTTGTTTGCCTTAAAATATAAATTTAGCTTTGGAATTCATTATTTTTCAAAAAAAGGGAGAATTCTAGGAATTTTTCTCAACTAATCCCCTCAAAGTTGTAAGTTCTTAATATAATATACTAACATAGATTTGAGGCTCTTTATACAGTTAATGCTGTTGATGGAGAAAAAAAATATTATTCCAAAATCATCTTTGTAACTGACATTTACAATTAAAAAGTAAGAAATTAACAATTTCAGCTTTTTCTTGAAAAGAGTTTGTTTTTTTATTCATACTGCATGCTTGTACTTATCGAATATTTTTACAAATACTCGTACTTAGCTAATAGCTACTTGGTTATAACGCAAGTTATGCTGTTACGGGTTAAGGCCAATATGGGAAGGGTTTAGAAGACACTTACAAACATACATTCATATTTAAATTACAATCAGCTCACATTTCATGAAACTGATGTTGGATGATTAATGGCATTGAAGTATTGACAGCGTCGATCTCTCACTCGATTACTTGTAAGGGAGGTTCAGTATGTGGTTTTCGTGCATAGCTAGGCTATAAGCAAATCCCCATAGCAAATTTTTTAATAGCTTTAATAGCGGAACACGGTGGAAGCATTTTGAAGTACCCCGCAAACCAAAACGAATGAAAAAGTGTGCCTTTTGTAATTACCCCGCTTAAGTGCTCATCGACTGTGTTCTTTATTAGTCACAATATTTCAAACGGATATCATACTGACATACTTTGGTATTTAAATAAATGGAACGATTACTAAAAAATTTTTCAGATGACTTTCATTTTACTTGCATTTAGTTGCATTTATATATTATGTATATTTATTTCGTTTCTCCAAGCTATGACTGTCAAAAACTTCGACATAAAACTATATACAAACAAAAATATAAAGTAAACATGTATATATAAATACAAAAAATATGGAGTATGTATAGTACACACATATTATGTAATATCTGGTACGAGTATGTATATTTCGAACATACTGTTTATTTTATTTGTGAAATCATTCCTCATATAGTTTTTACTACTAACAACAATAATGTTGAAACTGGAGATTTTCAAAAACTACAAAAAAAAACATATTTGTTAATGTACTTATTGCCAGATTTTAAACAATTGAATCTCTTACCTATATTTTTCAGAACAACATGGAAACGGCAAATTGCCGTGGTGCTTTTGATCCATTTAATTCACCAATTACATTCAGTAATTTATATAATATCGCAGACATGGTATACTGTCGTCAGAACAGTACCAACTTAACTCAGTATCCAATACTAAATCAGAAATACAATGACAACATGCCACGAAGCAATGATTCTTTATATGGCATCGCACTAAAATCTCGAGATACAAATCAGCAGGCTAACAGGCAAGAAATCATCAGAAACGAATATGGCATGGAAGTTTAAAACGCTTAAAGTAATGTTATTGCGGCCATATGCAGGCAGCCTAGTTACAAAACATCAAGCGTGAAAAGGCAGTGAAGCTTCTTACCAAAGGTTTGTTTTCAAAATATACATTTTAATACGCATGTATCACTTAATTTTATTTTATTTACTAAAAACTTTTACAGGTTTCTGGATGCTTTAGTGGCTGCCCAGTTTTTATAAAGTTATGTGTGGTTGCAAAAAGTGCCAAGGTCTAGGCCACATTAGACCATACTCAGGCAAAGTAAACATCTGAAATTAATATACGAGTATTTGCACTAAATTCGGTTTTTTACTTTCATAGAAGCCAGATTTTTGTAAAATAAAGTTGTTGTACGAAAATATTTGATATTTGGTTTCATTTCGTGTTTTAAATACCTATATGATGGAATTAGTAACATAAAACAGAAGTAGTTTGGTTGGTTCAGTCGGATAACGCAAACTGTATAAAATCCCTTAACGAATTATCTCGAAAGTCAGTTGCAGATTCATAGGGTTGTAAAAGTAAAGAAAAAACTAGCCAGTATGTTTTCGTTACTATAACACTTGTATACTCGTATTACCCTTTATTATTGTACCGTTACGTTACTCGCTTCTTTAATTATTTATATTTTGTCAAAAACGCTTTTTTTATCATGCTTCTGTTTGAATATTAAGCTTTGTCTACTAAGCCACTGTGCAGATTAGTTACGTCGTCGGAATCAAAATTGTACTTTGAAGACTACACCAGTGCAGCGCTAGTTGTTAATGTAATTGAGACCCAATTATAAAGCGCCAATTATATATACGTACATACAAGAATATGCGATATATGGAAGGTAACATTAAGTTTTATTTCCAAAAGGCGAAGTTTAATCGATTCTGGATTTTATTTGGCTTTTAGTACTTATGTATATATATATATTTTTTTTAAATAAACATGAGTTAAAAAACATTTTGCAATCTTTTTTTTAGGAAACCTGTGAAAACCTAATTAATATTTTCGTAAAGGACTTAAGCATCATATTTTGCAAATATCATAATAGGCCCATATTTCTACAGAATCATTCTAGAATTGTGTATGGCAGAATGTACATATACCATGCTCATATGTATGTACGAGTATGCAATTATAATAGTAACTAAATTTTCTCAAACAGTTTCAAAAAGGCAACTAATCTTATAGATTGCAATTCGTTTGACTTACTATGTTGTGCATTTCATGCTTACGTTACCTTTATGCTTCGCTTTGATTTTTGAATGCAAAATCACACGGTTAACGAGAAAATGTTGGTCACACGATGGTGGGTTACGGTTTTTTCTCACCACCTTCTGATGAAAGTGCTTGTGATTGAATTGAATTGTGAACGAATCGACCCTATATTTTCCACCCTTACGTATATGTTACTTTCATAACTGTGAGTTCGCCACTTCTATTTGTATGTAATGCCTTTTATTGTTTGTTTTTGTTTGGCACGGCACTTCCTGTTTACATGACGATTCTATTATACTTCTATTACAATTTAATCGCACTTGAAAAGTACTTGGTAGTATTTATTTCAATGTGGTCCTTATGAAAAAACCGAAATTGTTTCCAACTCTTTATCGATGCAATTGCTTTCGGTACTAAAGCTTTTTGACTGCCAGTTGCTATTCTACATTGTATTTACGTTAAAGATACATACATTTTCATATGTATGTATATATGCGCACACTGAATTCAATTCATATTTTTAAAAACCTACCATTTCCAGTAAAACCATACGAGTACTTGCGTGTGCGTATATCTACTTTTTTTTTTAACTAGTAAGAGGTTTGGGGTGGAAGGGGCCTTGTGAAGAAATTTACTACAGCCAAAAAACATCCGTTTGGAGGCGAGTTAAAATTAGGAGGCGAGTCCCCTTTTTGACGATGTCAAAATGTGATTGTTTGTATTACCAGATTTCTACGCAAGAAAATCAATCAAGCTACGTGGCTGAGATATAAGTATATAATGTTCTAGACGTGTGCACGCTCTGAGGACATAGCATCGAAAAGCTGCATTCACATCAGACTGCCAGCCGGTTTTCTATTCGAAATGCTTACCATTTTTCTGAGCGCACTCATCAGTAACTTTATACAAGGGAACTGTGGGACAACATCTAAAACTCCCTACAATTGGTCAGAAAAAGAGTTTGTACGGTAAGGAGTGTCGATCAGCAGTGGAGTTGCAGACAACCATAAAACTTGCGGAGTGGGATAGATACCAAGAGCTAAGAAGGGAAGCGAAACATTTTTGCAGGCATATGGGACCCAGAAATATGTTGGCAGATATCCAGAGCTTACTTAGTGTATGGAGGGAACACCTCTCGAACAGTTGAATGACAGTGAAAGTTCAGAGACCGTAGATGATGAACCCGAAACCACATCCGATGATTATTAGAAAGATGTTCCAATACCCAATTACGCCGACTTTTGGATACATAGTTGCTAAATAAAATTTCCTATCGGTACGCGAAGAGAAGCTCTTAATAGGCTACCTTCAAATTAGGAATGGCTATCAAGAGTATTGAATTTTGCTTTTCTCGATTATAAGCAGTATTCTGTTTAGGCTTTTTCTTACAGATTTTCGTCAGTCTATCGGCGATCGCCTGTACATCTGTATCATTTTTGTGCGCTTTTTGACAAGTGGTTTCTACACCACTTTATTAAGATAATGAAGCCTCTAACTGCTCCCGAGAAACTCACTCTCGGTTGTTGAATACCTTGCTCGCTAATCAATTCATTGCTATCACTATCAGACACTTCTGAATCTTCGTCGTCATCCCTAATTTGATCCCTGTTATAATTTTGAAAGTCAGTGATGACATTGCTGACACCAACATCACAAACCTTCGATACCAAAAATTGTACTTCTCGAAGTGTAAGCACTATTTGATTCAATCGATTCAGGCAACGGAATATCGTCTTCACCAATTTTGTATCTGGTTCCACGCGTTTATAAGAAAAGATTGTGGTAATTCATCCCACACTGTTTTAAGGATCAAAATGACATGACGAATTGTAAACATGTATAAGAGTACATATTTTTATAGGAGAGGAATATACATTGTGCTCGGGCTTGTTACCAGAAAATCAGTTGATTTGAAAAATCGCACGCTTGAAAAAATTAAATAAAAAATTAATTTTTTGAACCTAACGTGGATACAAAAAGTTGATTAACAGAGGGTTTTTACTTTTTCGCGAGTTAACTTTTCCGCGATTCTACTGTAAAGGAAAAAATTCTCTTGGTGGAGTAAATTCAGGTAATGTGGTGCAGGAGGACAATGTGGTACACCAGTTTTTCTCAGAAGCTATAAATGTGGAAATTACGGAACATTTAAAAAGGTCGGCATTCTCAAAATATTAATAAAGCGATATTTAACTTGTGATTTGCAAGCTATGTCGATAGTCAGCTGTAATAAAAAGGCTTGGTGGTGCAATGGACTTTTTTCTGCTCAGACAAAACGGTTTCTTTCAGAAATATCTGGAACTTTACACAATATTAACTCATCGAGAAGTAAAAAGTATTTATTATTTTAGTGGACAGTTTAGGTAATATTTTGTATATAATTTTGTGTAATTAATTATTAATAAAAAATATGATAAAACTCGACGTCGGCTATTGCGGTATATTCAAAGGCGGGTAAAGTTGTGTAGTAGAACAGGTAATGTTCTCACCTACAAATCCGTCGAAAAAAGGAGAAATACGAAGGTGGAAAGCAGATGATATTAAAAAGAGGGCAGATGTTCGGCCTTTTGGATACTAAATCGCGAAGAAAAACAATATTCCCAATAAATTCTTTTTTTCAAATATCTCAAAAGCTGTCAGCTGTAGATCTATTTCGTTTTACTTCACATGTTTGTGATATGTGATTGATCCGAAAACTCAATTTTCATTAATGTTGCTTAAAAACTATGGATTTACAAGGGAAAATAAAATGGATTTTCCACATTACTGCATATTCGTATTCACTTTCATTCTAGGTTTTATTATTTTTTTAGTTATTTTTATTAGTCAAAGTCAAAAATTTATGTCGCAGATCACCAAGATGAATTTCGTGAAGGTCGTCCAAAATCAGTTGGCTTTTTTTGTAAATTAAATTTTTTTGTAATAAATAGTAAATTCTGTGTAGTACGCAACCATTTGTTTGTTAGTTGTCTTAAGGAAATCAGGAAAACCAACCGGCGAAGACGGATCACTCCAGCCCACCACAATGACAAAGTTCTCACACATGGACCGAAGCAACTCAAAACATCGATTTAATGAGTAATCCTGACTAAGCAGCGAGTGCCTTCTTTTTACTCCCGTCCCGTAATATAATACGGAAATAGAGAGAAGTAGCTGCATTATTACTTTATTTGTAGTTAACCTTAAAGTTAGAGTATATGAACTGTGGGATTAAAAAAACTATTGGTGTATAAATAACATCATCCATTCACCATGGTTTTTTAATCCCTCAGTTCAAATTCGCTATGATAAAGCCATTTCGCCATAAAAACACAGTCTAACTTTTTTGCAATAAACTTCAGTATAATATTGTAATAGCATATTAATTTCTATATCGTAAATCAAGCGTTGTCAATCTCTTTGTAACAGATTTATTCAAACTAAAGCCGTTCGGGAAAGTTGTGTGTATGTTTTATTAGAGTTATCATACAAATGTACGTTGATAGGGCGAACGGGGAGATATGTTTTAGTTGAAATCTTTTGTTAAATTTAGCAATAAGATAAGTTTACATCGATATCGATTTGTTTACTAAGTCACAAGTAGTACATATATACGTATTTTCTAATAACGGAAAAATTCTCAAGTTATTTGAGGCTCGTTATATATAAAATTTCCTGAATGTACAATACATATGTATGTATATATAAATGAAAGTACAATAGTAGGCAAAATAAATTTTGTTTTCAATTTGCTCCCCATCACCACTGCTACAAATAAAAATTTCTAAGCGCACTTCCGTAGGCTATAAATCCTTCAATAATTGGGCTATTATCAAATAAAAAGAGCAGTTATTTGCGCAGAGAATAAAATGCACACACTGAGTAAAAAGCGTACTTAAATCATAGTAATTCAGTGGCGCATATTTAACTATCTCACTTCCGTCCTAGAAATAAGCTAAGCAAACACACCCTCATCAAAGCTAAGAAGTACTCATACACCGAATCATTTTCATTGCCGAATCTTATTTAAAAGGAATCCTTTTATTTTCCTACACATTAAGGTGCCCCAAAAATATTCGCCAGATTCTGGTTTGGAAATTATTACCGAGCTTACCCGAATTGCTGTATAAATATATA